GATAGCAGCTGCTCTACCATGAAATTATCAGTTATTTCTCACCTTTTTTTGGTTATTAGTCTACATTATTTTGCATAAGGATTTCTTGAGATCGATTTACTGTATGTGGGAATAAGGATCATTAAGATTTTAAAATTGCATTTAAATATATTGGGAAAGTCATGTTGTATTACTTTTTTTTATTAAAGTGTCAATTAGATGCCCATTTGCACCAACAATAACCATAAAGTTAAAAAATTTGTTCTAAAGGCCCGTGCACACTGAGAAATAACTATAGAGGTAACTATAACGATAACTATTAATAATACATTCTTTTAACTACCAACCTGTTGTTATAAGCATGTGCTTAAGTTATGTCATCTGCTGCTTTAAATGCTGAAGTACTGTAAAGACAGATGGATTCTGATTGGTCATCAATGTTTTTATTGTTCATCAGCTGGAAAAAAAAAAATTCTGAATGTGTTTCCAACGATATCGTTCCTGTGTCGTTATCACTGTAGTTGTGGTGTGGACTTTGCTATTTTCATAGAATTAGAATGATTATTAAAACATTATAGTTATCGTCCTTTAACTTAAGGAATCCACACAACATAATGATAATGGCACAGAGTAACAATATTGTTGAAATCACTGTCAGCTGATGAATAATAAAAACATTGACATCGATCAAAATCCATTTCACATTAAAGTATGTGCTGCAATTATGTTCACAGAGTGCTTAGAATAAACATAACATTATCATCCACTGGTGTGGATGCTGATACAAATTAGTAATCATTATAGCTGCCATTATAGTTGTATTGTTCTTGGTTCGAATGGGCCTTAAATCATTAATCTTGAATAGGCTGTTGCTTGAAAAGTGTTTTAAAGTTTAAGAAGCCTTGTGCTCAGTTAAATACAACTTTCACAATATAAATTTCTTCACTTTCTCCCAATATGACTTTCCCAATACACCTTTCTTAGTACAATACACAGGTTCCCTGAGGGAAAAACGGTGTTTATATTAATAATATAAATACAAATAGAACTTCTAATCATAAAAAAATGAATTTGGGACATTTCAATCTTGCTCATATATATACATGCACTGAGTGACAGAAATTAAATATTATTTAGAAATAAATAACACAGCAGCTGGAGTTAATATAGGTTAGCTTGGAAACTTGCTAAGTTTAGCATTGCTCTCTAAGGGAGTCAAAAGCACCTTGGTACAGATTTCTAAAAGTTTTCTGTCACAACGCATTTTAAGTTTGGCCTGTCGCTGCTGTGAATCTCCTTTATTTTCCTACAGAATTCTTCAGGGAGCGCATGCACTCATTATTAGCTGAGAAAAAATGCTGTTTTGTTTTCCTGTTTCCGACTCATCTCTGTGTAGAAAGTCGGGCTTTTACTCTAGAGGTACAAAGAGAAAAACATTTGGGTAATAGTGTTGGAATGAACGTTAAATGGTTAACTTTTGAGTGTACCACAAGACAAACTTTCTAAGTTACCTGCAGTGCTATCTGCTTTTAGCTTTCTGTGGTAGAATGAGCAAAACACCGGGGTCTTTTTAGGACTCAGAACTGAAATAAACCTCAGATATTGCTATTGTAGATATAATCACAATGACATACCAATCTCCCACAGTCAGTCTCAAAAGAGACATCTGAGCACCAGTGTTGTGCATCATTCAGAACAGAATTGAGAACACCTTTTAAATTATAATTACATTTCTAAACAGGATACTGAATTTAAATTAAAATAGAATTAAGATTTTGATCATCTATCAAATAAATGCTTTTCTTTTGATCTTTCTTTTCATCAAAGAATTCTGGAAAAAAGCATCACTGTTTCCACAACTGTGTTCAACACTGATAATAATAAGAAATGTTTCTTAAGCACCAAATCAGTATATTAGAATGATTTCATGTGACACTGAAGACTGGATGACTGGAAGACTGAAAATGAAAAGACTGAAAAAAATCACAGAAATAAATTACATTTTAAAATAATATTGAAATACAAAACCACTATTTTAACGTGTAATTATATTTCACAATATTACTGTTTTTACTGTATTTTTGGTTAATAAATGTAGCCCTGGTGAGCATATGAGATTTTTCCAAAACATAAAAAAACAAAAAAATCTTACTAACCTCAAACTTTTGAATGGTAGTAAATATTTCATAAGTAACATTTTTGCGGTAGTATAGCAAAATCTGTTGTGAAAGTACTGAACAAATTTAGAAATATCTCTAACCATACAAAAATAATATATGATATAATTATTCTCGTTTTGTCACTAAACTTTTGGGATTGTGTTTAATTTCTTTGAATTGGAGTTCAGTAAAAATCAATTTCCAATTCAGCATCCTTAAGGTGTAGCCAATTAAATCAAATACCAACTCATGAAAGGGATCAGATTCTTAAATTCTGAATTTGGTCCACATTTTCAATATGAAACTTTGGTACAGTCATGACCCTGTTCTCAAGTCCGTATTGGTAGTTCGCAATCTCTCTACACCCCTCTCTGACATCTTAGTGGGAATTACAGCTGTTCCACTTGAAGGCTTTAAGCTGATTACGGAGAAAGGTAGCCACTGTCTGAAGGGGCAATGTGACTTTGTTTGGATTCTCTGGGTAATTTGAGGCATCCTCGCGCCGAGATGTGAAGTCAGAATACTAAACTTTAATCCTTTGCCAAGCCGAACTCAATGTGTGTCTAATAAGGAGACTTTACAAAAGTTCACCCGTCAGTTGCCTTTTCTTTGACTGCAGTGGGTTTGACCTAAACCTTCCGCCATTCATTTCCATGGACATCTCTTTCAGCAGAGTGCGCTGACAATAGGGTGGATGTTTGATGGTGAATGAATGGGACAACATGAATGATGAATGCCTGAAGGACACAGATGGACAAGAGAAAGAATGAACAACACATTTGAAATAATCCATCAATGCAGTACAGTCAAACAGCATGAAATGAAATCATCGTCATCAAACCAGTGTGGATATGGGAGGTTTAATAAGCAGTTGTTATTGCTAAATAATCAGCAGAATGTAATGGAGCATTTGAGTTGCCTATTTGAGTCTGTGAACGTGTACAAAGGTACACAGTGGCAAAGAGAGTGCAGAAAGTGCATGTACCACTATGAAACTCCCTGTTCTCTTTGTAGAGAATGCATATGTCAGAAAGCAGCTGTAACATCTACTGTATATGAAAGGACATCTGCCGCGTGACAGATGCAGGCAATTCTATTCAGTATGTGCCATTCAGGAAAGAGTGCAGCAGAACATGTAATTATAGCACATGCTTGTGATTTTTTTTTCTTTTTCCTTTTGGCTCTAATGCATAGGCCGCCAAACCAAGGTGGGCAAGAGAGAGTAATATAAAATGTATTTATTTAGTTGTATATTTCAGAATTGTTGAAGTCCCTCACATCTTAAAGAGCTGCATGGGAGAAATATATTAGGGCTGGGTGAAACAATATCATAAGATTTATGTCAATAACAATGAAAAGCTCTGGACATTTTCACCTGATATGGATTAATCTAGCTGATCACACAGCAAAAATAAACATGACAACAGCCAGTCCGTGTCACTAATAAGTCTGCATGTTCTGCGTCACATGTGTGAATGAGTGGTGTGGTTTTGTCTGATAAACATACTCAAAACACACATGAAGCTCAAGGTGTTTTTAGTGTCTGCCGTCTCAATATACGAGGATAGGCCACTTGAACTTCATCTCCAAACCTATCATCAAATACACACTGAAACTCAACAATCTTAAAAAAAAAAAAAAAAAATGTTTAACATGAAGAAATTATGACAGAAATATATTACTATTGTATACTAAAATGTATGTCTCAAAGCAATAATATTATTATTATTTTTAAGGAATATCATGCAACCAAGAAATATTTCTAACAATGTTTTAACTTATACAGTTCTGTTGTGCTTCATCTTATTTGACAAAAAAAATTATAATGCAGTGTTTTGTTTTATATTGATTGTTATATTTTCAAACTGTATTTTTTTCTGAAAAAAAAAACATAATATAAGATATAATATAACAATGTTTATATATATATATATATATATATATATATATACAAACACACACATACTGTATATATAAAACACATATACAAAATTATGTATATATTTATATAAATGATTTCTATTTCTCTAACTTTGTTCAAAGAATCCTGCAAAAAAAGAACACTTCATTAAGCAGAATAACCATTTTCAACTAATAATAAGAAGAAAGAATTCTTGAACACAAATTCAACTCATTCAAAATGATTCATGTGACACTAAAGACTGGAATAATGGCTGCTGAAAATAAAGCTTTCACCACAGATTTTTGTAAAAAAAAAAATGTATATATATATATATATATATATATATGTATATGTGTGTGTGTGTGTGTGTGTGTATTTATATA